AAAATCCCACCCAAAAATAGCCATACCCAATTTCTTGTGATTTGCTTGGTTTTTATCCATGGATCTCTTGCAAAACTTGCTGATCGGCCTTCCATTGCATTCCTATGGCCCATTTTTTTTCCTTTACCCTATCAATTTTGAACTGGAAATCGAGTTTTCCCGCCCCCGTGCTTCGATCTGGAATTTTCAGGTCAAACCCACACCTTCTCTGCAAAGACCGGAACTTCCAGACAATCTGGAACTTCCACCCCCTACCCCGAAACTTTTGGAATTTCCAGAGAGCACGCTAGAAATTTCAGCATCTTCACCGTTTTGGTCATAACTTTCACTACGGACTCCTATTTGAGTGTTCTTGGTCTTGTTTGGCCGAGAAAATTTTGGAGGAACTTCATCGACACCGTACACCTCCACCAACCATCATGATCGAGTCATCGCTTCATCACTCATGCATCACCAGAGTGACCATTTCGAACCATCTACATCAATAACCACCAAGTACATCATCGCCAACAACCAGTTCATCCTTTGACACCTTCAACCGGAAGCAAAGCTGGTCATCCCCGACTTCATGAAAGGTTAAAGCCCCGTTCAGTAGCTCTCTGGCTTCCCAAACTAGCCAGCTTCTTGGCCAGCAAGCCAGCCGCTAACCAGGTTCACACGGGAGCTGTGAAGCGTTCGGCAGCAGCACCGCGCCGTCGGCATGGGCCAGAGAGGAAAGGCGCGGGCTGGTCTGACTATGGGGTCGCGCGGTCGCTGGTTCGCTCGAGAGGGCTTCTTCAGATCGAAATTGTACCCAGGCCACTCTGGAATGGCATTCTCCTGTAAATTCAACCAACTCCGGCTTCGTCATTTGGAGAAGCTACGCTTCCACGGCTCCACAAAATTGCCTGCAAGGAGGGATGGCATCGCGAAGGGACTTCTTGGAGCTGCGGCATTCAGGCCAGCTCCGCGCGTGGAGCCGGTGAAGTTGGGAGCCGGCAAGCTTCTGAATGGGGCCTAAGTGTGACGAAGGTATCCATTCCGTCACAAACTTTGCCTTCCCTTGACATTACCTTTGTGAGCAATACCCTTTGAAATATCCTTTGCAACAATTGAGCTTTAGGGAAGTCTCTAATTCCTAAATATAAGGAAACAAAATTATATGTTTGCAACAAAGAACATGAAACAATTCAATTAGCAACGACTATAACAACAAACAGGTGGGTGCAACTCAGCACATGCAAATGGAGAGATCAATCAAGCAAGCATTCAAAAGGAGGATAAACTCCTGATAGCTAGGAATCATAACCTCAAGCCTCAACTGGAGTGGTTGTGGCACGAGTTGCGCATCAGTTTGTCTATTCAGTGAAAATATGTTACACATGTACTCCCTCCGTTCGGAATTACTCGTCCAAGAAATGAATGTATCTAGATGTATTTTGGTTGTAGATACATCCATTCTTGTGACAAGTAATTCCGAACGGAGGGAGTATGAATCTTGGGGATTCTTTTGAGGTGCATAACAGCACATTATCTCTACTACTTAAAAAGAACGTAAGGTTCCCATTTCACCTTTCTTCCCACCACCCCTTCGTCCAACCTTCCATGTACATGATAATCAATCACCTTAATTTACTTACCTTCTGAACCAATTCCACTTTAATTTACTTACCAAACTTCTAATCAAAATATAAGGTAATTCACGGGCAGAATTTGATGAAGATTTATTTACACAATCGCATATTATTGACAGGTAAATCACAAGCTAATGTACTAGAATATTTATATCCCGTTGCAACGCACGGGCATTGTTCTAGTGATTTTTAAAACCCTTTGAACCCACCTTACAACAAGAACATTAATCTTCCCTAAAAGCAAATAGTATTTGATTTAAATTAAAACGACCAGATGGCACAAGTAATGTGGAAAGCACCACAGCATACAACCAGGAATAAAAAGAGAGTAAGCGCTTCATAAACGCGGAAAAAGAACACGGAAATACCTGATAGCGATCTCCACGGCTGGCATGAATGATATCAAGTATGCCTACTTTCTTTTCTGTGCATCTTCTACACCGGGCCTCAGTCATCTAGTTAAAACAAACAGAAACACAAATTAAACTTTGGCTGAAAACTCGGTTACTGTACTGGCTTCATTATCTGGCCCTGGCAGATTGTGAACTTGATGCATATGATGTATAATACCTGCAGCTGCCTTGATTCTTCTGATTCAGACGCTATCTCTGCTGGTGTCAACCCAGCCTGAAATGATTAGGAAGCAAGTAATTCTAGAATTTAGAGAAAATACGCACTCAAAAGGGAGTAATCAAACTGAATCAAGAGAAAGTTATAATAACAGCAAGAATTTATCGAAGTGGTCTCCTGGCTCAACAGGTGGTTTTAGAAAAGAGGGGACATATCTAGTCTGAAATCTGAAACACTCGCTAGGTGCAATTCTGGACAATTGTGCAAGTGCAACTGACTAGTATCCTTCAAAACTCAATTAGTAAGGGGAAACAAAGAAAATAAATTCCCAGAAATAGTAACGTCTGAAGCTCTTCAATTTTTCTAAACATTGCTCGAATAAATTTTAGACTAACTTCTGAAATATTAAGGACTTCTGATATTTACTAATGCAGGTGCTTGAACCAAATCAGTCCAGTACATGCCCCTGTTCAGATTTAATAGTTAAATGCTTTCAACAAACAGAACCATTTCGGTCTCAGCAACCATGTCATATCGACTAGATTATAAGAGTACTAACGCACCACAAAAACTAATCTAATCACTAATGTGAAGAGATGGAAAGTGGTCACTGTGAAGACCAAAATGAAAATAAGATGATTAGACCTTTAGTTCGTCAGGGGTCATCGTTAACAGAACCGGAGGATCAAGCGCCTTGTCCATTAGTCGCTTGCACAGTACAGAGCTTTTCTGCATATCCAGAAAATCAATGGTCTGTCAATTTCTAATAAGAATATACAAGTGTAGAACATGTGACATAAAAATGGCTAAGGACGCATCATAAACTGCTGAATAGTACATATGACATTGTCATTATGGAACGGCAATACTGTAATTATAACAACAATATAATAACAATAAAAGGCGCCATAGAATTACATTATACAGTTTCAAACTAAAATCTACCAGGTTTGTAGCCTGAAGAACTACGGTTAGCACTAAAAACTTAGTTCGAGAAAAAAATGCCTAGTCTCACACAAATAAAAAAGGTAGTTATAGAAAAGCCTAATATTGATGTAAGATCATTATATCTTGGAAGGGTGAACAGGCAAAACAAAGACTCCTGCCATGAACTGTGCCTTGCCACACTTCCTTAGCATTGTTATAGTAGCAACTAGCAAGAGCACAGCTAATTCTGATTTCGGACTCCTGTTTCTGGGCTGTTATGGATGCAGCTGGCTAGGCTTCACCTCTTATTTATAGCTGAAAGAAACTAGGTCAGAAGCACCTCAGTAGCTTTCTTACATCCTAAGATATCTTGACTTGACCCACTGACATGTAGCCTAAGACACGGACTTGACTCACTAGCTTACGACTGACTGCTGCAAGTTCTTCCACTAACCCTTGCAAATCAGACATGAATTGATTTGGACAATCCCAATCCTAGCACGCAGCTCATGGAATTTCACCCGCCCTAATGCTTTCGTTTTGGCGTTGGCACTCCCATCCACCAAGCAATCCCGGATGAAATGGTACCGTATGTCGATATGTCTGCTGCATTAGTGGAAGGCTGAGTTCTTGGACAGCGTTAAGGCGGACGGCACGTCCACCATAGCTCAACTGCCTCAGCTTCTCCCCCATGGAGTTAACCAAGGAGCCGAGCCAACCAAAGTCCTTGTGTTGTGGCTGCTACCTCACAGGAGGACAGAGCCACTACTCGCTGCTTGAGCGACTCCAACTCACCAAACTACTACCAAGGAAGAACACCGTGCCACTCGTGCTCTTCCTGGTGCCAATATCACCGTCAAGGTCACTGTCTCTATAGCCAGTCTTCCACGTGTGGCGTAGACCGTAGTGGTTGGTGCCAGCAACACAGCGAAGGACGAGCTTCACTGCCATCATGTGCTCCTATGCAGGTTGCTCCATGAAGTGACTCACGAATGTGATGGCAAACGCCAGGTCCGGCCGTGTGTGGAGAAGGTAGCAGAGGCTGCTAACAAACCTCCTATATTCTGCGGCATCCACCTTTTCCGCCGTGCTCTCACACCTCAGTTTGAGTCACTCCTCCATCGGAGTGTGAGCTGGGTTGCAGCCTTCCATTCCTCCAAGCTGAAGTATGTGTGAGGCATAGTGTGCCTGACATACCCTGATGCCATCGCCATCTTGCTGGACTTCGATTCCGAGATAGAATGGCAACAGTCCAAAGTCACTCATCTGGAATTTTGCTTTCATCTCGTCATTAAAGCTCTCCACTGGCCCCCCTTGGATGAACCAGTCATGATCAAATCATCTAACTCCAATGAGCAGGATTTCGTCGCCAGTGATGCACCGGTAGATCACGTGCTCATGCTCGCTCTTTTTTTTGAGAAAACGCAAAAGACTTGCGTTTCTTTGTATTGAAAAGATAGAGTTTGTTACAGCCTCCTAGGAGGAGCGATTACAGATAACGATCTAGATCAGTGTACGTCCCATGTTTGAGGCAGGATGGCACGCAGTCCACGGGCTCCCGCTCTTGCCCAGAGCGTAGCTTCGTCCTTGATCTGCGCGATCAGCAAGTTGGTCGAAGGGGTCGCGCCGTTGAACACGCAGTCGTTGCGATGCTTCCAGGTCATCCAAGGGATCAGCAGAGTAGCGGTGGTAAGGCCCTTTTTCATTGGTTTGGGCGTGTTCCGGCGCGCCGATCGCCACCAGTCGGACAGGGATTCCTCGTTGGAGGGCGCGTTGCATGGCAGGCGTAACCAGGACAGGCTCTCGTGCCACACTTGTCTGGAGAAGGAGCAGTTCAGGAGAAGATGATGGATCGATTCGGGCTCCTGATCACAGAGCGGGCAGCGAGGGGGTGTGACAGCCCGCGGCGAGCCAGGCGATCAGCCGTCCAGCAACGCCCCAGGTGGGCGAGCCAATGAAAGAACTTGACACGCGGAGGCGCCCAGCCGTTCCAGTTCAGTTTCCATGCAGGGCAGGCTGCCGAGCCTTGGAAAGTGGCGAGGTAGGCGGATTGCGCCGTGTAGATGCCTGCCGCATTCCACTTCCAATGTAAGCGATCCGGCTCGGCGTTGAGTGTTATGTGCTCGAGCGCGTTCCAGGTGGTCAGGTACTGGCCGATCTCTCTGATGTCGAGGGTGCCCTGGATGTCAGATGCCCATTGGTGCGCTTGCAGGCCATCCGCCACGGTCCTGTTCTTGCGGCGATTCCTTGGGATGAGGGCATGGAGTTGTGGCGCTAGTTCCGAGATGGAGCAGCCGTTAAGCCATCGGTCCTCCCAGAACAGCGCGCTCTGGCCGTTGCCGAGGATCATGGTGGTGGACGCGAAGAAGAAGGCACGCTCCATGGCACTGAATTGGAGGTCAAGGCCAGACCATGCCCGGGTGTCGTCAGTGCGGGCGAACCAAAGCCATCTGGTGCGCAGGGCCAGGCCCGTGCGCTCCAGGTCGTGAACTCCAAGTCCACCAAGGCAAGTTGGGCGGCAGACGCGTTGCCAGTTGACGTGACAGTGGCCACCGTGCGCCTCTGTGCGGCCCGCCCATAGGAATCCTCGTTGGATCTTCTCCAGGAGCTTGAGGATCTTCTTTGGCGGCGCGAGCACAAGGAGCTGATGGATGGGGATCGCACTTAGTACCGATTTGACGAAGGCCAGGCGTCCAGCTTTGTTCATGAGATGCGCCTTCCAGGTGGGGAGCTTTCCAGCAGTTTTGTCGACAAGGGGTTGGAGTTGTGCAGCGGTTGGGCGTCCAAGGGTGAGCGGGATTCCCAGGTAGGTGACAGGCATTGCCGCGGTTGGGCAGCCCAGGTTGGCGATGGCCGGGGCAGCCATGTCGCCGTCGCATCTGATCAGCGTGGCTGTGCTCTTCTGGAAGTTCACCCTTAGGCCGGACGCTCGGCCAAATAGCTGCAGGATATCCCGGACAGCGAGTGTGTCGCTCGTCGAGGGGTGACAGAAGAGTATGACATCGTCCGCGTACAGCGAGAGGACGGGGAGCGCACGGCGGGGGTGCAGTTCTTGCAGCACGTTGAGCTCGGCAGCGCGGCGAAAAAGGCGTCCCAGTGTGTCGACAGCAAGCACGAAGAGCTGTGGCGATACTGGATCGCCTTGACGAAGCCCACAGCGGTGCCAGATCGCAGGTCCCGGCGCACCATTGAGAATGACCTTGGTGCTCGCCGACGATAGGAGAATGGCGATCCAGCCAAGGAAACGGGCACTGAAGCCATACCGACGCAAAACCTCAAAGAGGAATGGGCAGGATACGGAGTCAAATGCCCACGCGAGGTCGAGCTTCAGGAGAATGCGCGGGGCGCCCAGCTGGTGGAGAAGACGGGCCGATTGTCGGACGAGCACGAAATTGTCGTGTAGGCTTCGTCCCGGGATGAAAGCGTTCTGAATGGGGCTGACCAGCTCGTTCAGTTTGGGCGCAAGGCGGAGGGACAGCACCTTCGCGAAAATCTTGGCGAGGAGGTGGATTAGGCTGATGGGCCTATAGTCGCCCAGCCCGGCTGCATCGGAGCGCTTTGGGATCAGCGTGAGGAATGCTTGGTTCAGGCAACTGAAACCCCGCCCGGGGAGCGCGTAGAGCTGCTGGAAAACATGGACGAAGTCCTGTTTGACGATCGGCCAGCATGAGCGCAGGAATTCTGCGGTGAAGCCGTCCGGGCCGGGCGCTTTGCGCGCCGGCAATAGCTTGACAGCCTGCCAAATCTCCTCTTCGCCAAAGGGGGCGTCCAGGTCATCCAGATTGGAGGGCGCGATGAGGTCGTCGAGGTTGAGGGCGCACTCGCGAGGGTGATCCGTTCCAAGCAGGGAGTCAAAGTGCGCAAACGCCGCGGCGGCCAAGTCGGCAGGATCGGTGAGAATGGCTCCCTCAACCGTGAGGGTGTGGATCCTATTCTTCTGCTTGCGGTACGTGCATTGACGATGGAAGAAGGAAGTGTTCGCATCTCCATCCTTGAGCGAAGTAATACGGGCGCGTTGGCGCGCGAGGGTGCGCTCGAGCGAGGCGAGGCCGAGGTAGGAGAGCTTGATCTGTCTTCGAAGCCAATCCTCGTGTGGCGTCAATTGGCGATTCTCTTGGGCCGTGTCAAACCGCAGCAGCAGCTCGCGTGAGATCGCGAGCTGGTCGCGGATATTGCCCACGGTGCACGCGCTCCAGCTCGTGAGCTTGCGAGCGGTGGCCTGCATGCGTCTCATGATGCGGCGAAACGGGTCCGCGTCGTCCACAGAGTGCCATGCGTCTGCGACCACGTCATGAAATCCCTTGACTCGTGTCCAGTAGTCCTCGAAGTGGAATCTCCGGCGTGCTGGGGGTAGGGGCGAGCAGTCTAGGAGGAGGGTCATGCTTGTTAGACCTTTCAGCCTGAGCATTGATAGTTGTGGATGACACTAGGAGAGTTGGGACAATTTTCGTTGGTTTATTTCTCACACAATGCCATGCCAACCTGAGGGGTTGGGGATACATATTTATAGGCTGCTAGCCAGCCAAGGCATATGCTAAGATGCTGCTAAGATGCCAGTCTAAGATGCTAGTCTAAGATGCTAGTCTAAGATGCTAACTGACAGTCCTTGATGGTCAAGAACAGAACTCTATCCTAACAGCCAGTCCTTGATGGTCCAGGACTTTATCCTCCTAACTGCCACAAGGACCATGTGCTGCAGCCCCACAAGGACCCTAGTACACAGACTTATCCATCATTCTCCCCCTAAGTCTTGTACGTCGTCTTGTGGGAGAGTTGAATCATCCCAATCCTGGAGCAAAGTT